AGGACATTTTGTTTAGGATCAGAATTTGAGAGTTAGGTTTCCTGATTTTCAAATAAATTTGAACTTCCTGAGTACAGAGTTTAGAATCAAATTCCTACTCTCTGGACAAAGTTTTATTTATTGGTGATAAAATGTGAGTTTTCTGCTTCGAAGATAAAGGACTGGAATGACTTTTGAAGGCCTGGATAGCCAAGGATAGTTAGTACAAAACTAAATTTTAATGAGTTAAGTGCAAATGAGTTAGAAACATGCATCTCAGATTTCTTATTAAAATATATATGAGGTTACAGGTTATAAAGAAAAATGCTTGGCAACACGCATCTCAGCAGTTGCTGGTCTTCAAACACTTCAGACATTTTGTTAGTTGTCCCGATGGCGGAGGGAAGCTGCTGGTTTCTTCCATCCTTTGCCTGCATCACCGAGCTGGCCATGTCTATTTTTTTTTTTTTTTCAAAGAAAAGTAGAAAGTGGAAATCCCTCTGTTGTTTTACTGCATGTGTCAGAGGAAACAGAGTACCCGCTTGCACACATATAACTATTTTTGCTACCTTGAAGTTCAGAGTATTTTATAAAAACACAACGACTAAAATTGTCATGAGAAATAATCACCCTTTGATTTTGTGTTGTGCCATCTTAATTCATCATCCTTATTATCATCAGGTGTTCTGTGATCGTCCTCAGTGTGCATGGCCCACTGGTCTTAAGACAGTCAAACACATTAAGGTCTTTGATTTCCACATTAAGGTCTTTGATGTCAAAACAAATCATTGAAAACAGTTATTCCAGTCATATTAGGTATTTAAGTGCCATTGTCTTTACAGTGAAAACATGTACAACTGTACTCATTTGTCAAATTTTTGTCATATTTCTCTAATAAACCCTGCCAAGCGAATAAGGAGATACATTTGCACTGATGACCTGGTATTCATTATTAAATCATATGGTGCCCCCACAAGATCGAATCCTTCTTGTTCCCACCCTAAACCTTCCATCCCATTTCTTAGATAACTTACACTAAATACATATTTTGGATTTTACTGGTTTGAATAGTCAGTGTGTCATTTTATTTGATCCATACAACCATGCTGCAAAAATGGCTGATCAGACATCATAAACCACATCATAAGAATGTGGAACCAGGTGCCTGTGTGACCTTGGAAAATTTCTTTACTCTTTGAGCATCAATGTGTTTATTACAGTACCTCCCACATCAACTAAGATTGTTTGGGGGAAGAAATGAGAGAATGCATATAAATACTGTAGCACAGTTCCTGATGCATATTAACTTTTTAATAAATATTAGATATTATTATTATTATTATTACTGTTTAGGATGTCTCGATTATTAATTGGTACAGTCAGCATCAAAGTCTAGGTCTTCTAATTTCTTGTCTGGTGCACTGCAGGCTCTCCATTGCCCACAAGAAAATTTCTAAAAATAAAACAAAAACCTCTGTGTTCTCCCTCCTGTTTATTTTGCTAGCCCTATGTTCTCCAACCCCTTACCCAGTGGCAGTCTAGCCAAGTCAGGCTGCTAATGGACACTTTCTCCTGCTCTCTCAGAGCACATTCTCTGTTCAGCACTTCTTTCTGTTCAGTGAACTCACATCAATCTTCAGGACATAACTCGGGGGTAAGTAAACCTTGTGGACCCACTGACGGGACTTTCTGCCCGTTTCCATAGATTTTGTTCATCTCTGTTTCACAGTCATCTCATTTTGAAACAGTTTATTGTCTCTCTCTCCTACATAAAACTGTGCACTCCTTAAAGCCAAGAATTCTGTTTTATTCCACTCCAACCTCTGTATTTATCTGTTGGTTAATATTTGTTGAATTGATTCTTCATTATTTTTTCCCCTTCCTTTTGCGCAAGACGCTCAGGATGGCTTTGGCAGACCGTAGTTATAGAATGAGGGCTCTAAATAATACTTGGTTAATAGTCAACCTGTGTGCATGGTTCCCTGGTGAAATACTGGTTCTTATTCCTAGAGAATGTCTTGCTTGCATCTGATGATGGTTAAATAGATACACTCTGAAGTTTTCTGTAAACATTGTTCAACTTTGCACTCCTTCAACAAGGCTGCCTGCTTCTTTACCTTCATTTCCTATGAATTTCCCCCTTGTTCATGATGTACCAGCTACATTGATGTTCTTTAAGTTTCTAAGGACGTCAAGCTCTATTTCTTCCTCATGGTATGAGCACTTGCTATACTCTGCTTAAAAGAGTCTTTCCTCATCTTCACACAACTGCCTCCATCTCATCCTTCTGTACTCACTGAATATCAGCTTCTTCTGTGCATGTGAAAAGTCGGGTAGGTCCCCTGTTGCCCTCCGTCAAATCTCCTTGATTCCTTCCTTCCTTCCTTTCTTTCTTTCTTTCTTTCTTTCTTTCTTTCTTTCTTTCTTTCCTTAATCATGATTTGTAAGTATTTTCCTTATTTGCTTACTTTATGTCTATCTCTCACATTTGAAGTAAGTTCCATGAAGGGAGGGCCCAGGCCCGTCTGGTTGAGTATTGTGTAACAATAGTCACAATAATACATATATGAATAATACATATTGAATAGATAAAGAACAAATGCAATAATCATGGATGTTATATATTGGGGTGTCTATCAAATAGAACTTTTTAATAAACTGAACTACTTCAGACAATTGACTCCTTACAGAGAGAAACAGTCAATATCAGTCAATCTGTCAATAAGCCTATAGTCACTCCCAGTCATTTGTTAAGCAAACTCTGTTAGGTGCAGCCCTCAGTACAGGAGATAGACCACGCCATTCATTACATTGTTCTTAGGGTTATGAACCAAAGACTATGTGATTTCATCTTCAGACTTTCTCAGCTTGAGGCTTCTATTTCTCTTGCTAACTCTGACCCAGCCATATGGTCTTCTTTCAGTTTCTCCAAAGTGCCTTTCCCCATGCCACAAATATTATCCCACTTTACTCAATTAGAAAAAATACCCAATATCAATTTATTGGATTCTCTCACGTGCCCCTACTGTTTCTTGTCTCTTTGCTAATCTCATCGAAAATTTCCCAATGAATGTATCTTCAGCCTGTGCCTTTTATTGCCAGACTGTTTTTGGCAGCAGACCTCTGCCTTCCCACAGTCTTCCAGAACTCTTGTGGACTTTCTCTAAACCAAACAAAAACACACACTTTTACCTTGAACACCGAGTGTAACTTGGAGGATCATTCTATGATTTGTAGTAGTTCCTAATAATAAAGTAGCTGCATTTCCTTCAGACCATGCTGGATATTTGAAAGACTATGAAAGGCTCATTAACATGATGGAAGCGTACCTCAAGAAGGTCAGAGAAAAGGAAGAAAAAGTTAAAATACTGGAGCGCTCAAATTGGATTTTCATTTTATCCTTTAGAGTCTTTAAGGTGAATAAATTTCCTAATATCAGAATGCTTTTTGTAATATAAATAACACATTTTTTACTAGTTATACTTACAATTTAAAGGAATTAATCTTATGAAAAAAATGTGGAGGGACACCTGGTTGGTTCAGTTGGTTAAGCTTCTGCCTTCAGCTGAGGTCAATCTTGCGATCGAGCCCCACGTCGGGCTCAGCAGGGAGTCTGCTTTTCCCTCTCCCTCTGCCTCTCCCCTGACTTGTGGGCTTGTGTGCTCTCTCTCTCTCTCTCAAATAAATAATTAAATAAAATCTTCAAAAACATGTGGAATTTTATGGTTCATCCTGCCTTGCCAAACAAGAACCTTCTTATCCCTCCTGTTTTGACTGCATTAACATCTATGTTGTTTGCATACAGTTGGTAAAACAGCATTGGAGACAGTCTTTCCAAATTCATCAAAACATACCTTATTGTTCTCTAATATAAGTTGATAAGTCATTCAGCTTGCTTTGCCTTTAGTATGACTTTATAAACATAACCTTGCTGTATTCATCTTCCAAAACTGAAAAGTGAGAACTAACTTTTCTCCATTTAACTTTTTCTAGTTTCTACAAAACGATGCTCATATTACAGTTAAACATCAGTTGTACAGCTTTCTCTTTTTTCTCTTTTAGCTATTAGTCCCTTAGGTATAACTCTGTAATCAAAGAGAGGTCAACTGTATCCAAATAAAAATATGCCAGAATGTTTCTGGCATGAATCGCTCCCTAAAGATTTCAGTAGTGTTACTTCAGGAGACAGAGAAATAGTAGTATGTTTTATCTAAAAATCTAAGAAACTTAATTCATTTAAAAATAAAGTACTAAGTTATCCTTACAGAGAGCTGTGCAAGCATAAGATCTCCATATTACTCATCAAGTTGTTTTCCTTCTTACTAGGTTTTGAAAGACCTTGAACAGTCACAGGAAAAAAATAATGCTCTGTAGGAACCGATATGGCTACTATTGATGAACACTTCCCATATTGCTATAAAATACAGGGAGAGCACAGTAATTCAAATTGAATTTGAGCATCATAGGCATTGCGCAGTATCCAGTTAATTTCAGAAGCAGCTGTGGACCAGTTCTTGGCAAAATTATGAAGTAAAATGGAAAACATTTCTTTTACCCTACTTAGATGTCAGCTGTCTAAGCTTCTGAACTTCTTCACTAATAATTGTTCTATTCCTAATAGCAGACTGAAGGCAGCCTGCCCAAGGGTATCTGCATTTTACTTGCCCTACATATAAATCTATGTCTGAATTAGATCTTATCCTGAATCCCAGGAGCTTTCCATCATCACAATGGGATATGAGTCCTACCAGAGTGACCCTGAAACTTGCTTTCCATGAGCGCATTCCTATCCGTCCATATATTGCCTAAATTGGATGTGATTTAAGACATTCCCACTACCAAGAAGCTTTTTTTGAATGCCTTTTATTTGCAAATGATCATAGAAAGTATAGAAAGAAACTCCAGAAACTCCATAGAAAGAAACTCCACCTTGGTTAGTGCCATGAATTTCCACATGTTCAATATCACTTTTAATTGTTTCTTCTCCTTCTTTTCTCTCTCATTATTAACTCATTTTTCAGGCTGGTGGTTTGATGCTTGTGGCCCCTCCAATCTAAATGGAATGTTCTACACTGCCGGACAAAACCATGGAAAACTGAATGGTATAAAGTGGCACTACTTCAAAGGGCCCAGTTACTCCTTACGTTCCACAACAATGATGATTCGACCTTTGGACTTTTGAAGGCATCATGTCAAAAGCAGTGATAAAAGCAACAGAGAAATCTGAAGAAGCTACCAAATAAGAAACTGCTCGAAAACTTCTGAAGCAAATGATAGTGTCTCCCTTCCAGCCACAAGTGGCAGTTATGTGAAGTCACCAAGGTTCTTGACTGGATTTGGAGCCTTTTGAGTTCACCAGAGTCTCTCGATGAGGTTAATTGTGTTCACAGGGCTTGACTATGGAGCATGCCGCTCACTGTCATGTTTTAAAAAGGGAAGAAACTGTTCGGTTCACTGTGCTTCAAACTACTACTGGATCTTATTTTAGAACTGTGGTAGCCAGGTGACAAAATGGTTTATGTCATGTAAAAACTGAGAAGAAGGAAGGAGGAGGAGGAAGGGAACAACACAAAAAGAAGAATATACGTGAAGAATACAAACAGGGCTGCCATAATTCTTTGGAAAAGTCTCACACCAGTGCAATGGTGTTATTTCTCTGGAAACCTACTAAAAATCAGTCTATACTGTTGCACAATTTTGATAGAAGTCTAAGAAGAATAAGCATTGCCCTCTAAGTTGGTTAAGTGTTAATGGATTCCAGAAGCCTAACTCTTGAATCATACTTACTCCTTGATTTCAGTTAACCCATTTTCAAATGTAAATTCCTTTTTGCTAAACCATGATAAATTGTAGTACATGGAGAAGAATAGTGTAAGGTAGAAACATCCTCCATTTACGCTTTGATTTTTTTATGCAGTTTTCAGGAAAGAAATGGGCATAATCAAGTATGGACATATGAAATAAGAAATTAACCCCCTATGTGACAGTTTTCACTTACTTTAAAAACTGACTGACTGATATACAAATATATTTATAGCGTGAGTAAAGTTTAAAGAATGTGAAATATACCATCACGCTCTTAAAATAATATACGTGCATTTACTATTTCTTTTGATATTATACATGAAAACAGTATTTTTGAGTATATTAAGTTGGAGTAAAACCAAGGAAGCTGGAACAGTTCATTTTACAATATCATCTTGCGTGTGTACACTTAAGTGTAACTTCTTTACTTTTAAAAATAATGATTTCAGTTCTTCATTCTGTTATTTCTTGCTAATTTAATTTTTGCCAATTAACTGAAACATGCTTTCCAGATTCACCCTGTTCCAGTTTCTATGAGAGATACACTTTGAAGTCTATGAAAAATAAAGGAAGAATTATAAATATCACTGTACATAGCTTGTTTAGTTCCATGGTAAACCTAATAGCTGTTTAATCTGGAGTGCAAATTGTCCTTCATTGATGCAAATAAACTCAAGTTTTCAAAGAAATCTACTAAACTATTTTATGAAATACATTATTTCTTCACATTTTTCTCTCTCAAGCTCTGTTTTCAAAGGAAATTTCTGATTTTTAAAAAACCATTTAGTGGAGAAAATTTTCAAAACTCTGTATTAAATAAACATGAGGAAAATACACAAAAAGAGAAAATTAATCTGTCACCTAAAAAGTTCTGACTGTTAGCTACTATAACTCTCTTAATGAAAATATTCCTATGGGATAATCTATTTTAAGTGAATTTGGGGGCACAGGTTTTGTGGCAAATAGAAGGTGCTACAGTGTTTTCTCAAAAAGTGCTTTCTCCCTCTAAGTGTACAAGGTTACCGTAATGAAGTATTATTATCAAAATGTGAGTTACTATATGAAAGTGGAAATATATATTAGGTGTCCTTTCTTAGAAAAATAAGTTTTTTCAAAGCAACGACATATATTTCCTCCACTTGAGAGAATAAAGCTATTCCATTTTTAAGAAAATATTGTTAAAATTTACCACCACATCTTTGTGTTTATGGATTTGTATACAACCCCATTTTGCCTTACAAGTGATATTTGGTGATATTACGGTCTTTCTATTCTTGGTGACTCCTTCATAGCACTGTTAGGCTCTCCCTCTAAAAACCTTCTCAACTGTTTTCCTTTAAGTGAATGAAAGTGAGTGTTTGTTCTTTTGTGTTCCTACAGATTTTTGTTACCAGTCTTTTGATAAGAAATACTACTTCCCAACTCTTATTACAAAAATAAAATGAAATAATGAAGAAAAAAAAAGAAAGCATGATATTTACTATTTTGTTATCTGGGTTTGAAAAATGAAATATTATTTCCAATTATTTATAATAAAGCAGTATAAAATGTTTTATGACTTCATTATGTGCATTGTGTAATGCCTACATTTGTGTGACTGTTTAAAATATGTATCTTTTACATTTAATTATTTCAGGATAAGATAATTAGGTATTAGGATTTCAACTTTAAATTTTTATCTCAATAAAATTCATGTGGTTTCTATGCCAGTTTCTTCACGTCAGTCACAGCTCTATTTGATTTAAATAAAATTGAAAATAATGTATTTGTGCAACCTCATGTCATTTTAAATAAATGTTTTACAAATTTTAAAATTAGATATCTATAAAAGTATGGGATCATCGGGGGGAAAAATCTACTAAATGAATTAACACCTCAATCTTTGAAAAACTTCCAGTCTGGGATGTGATAAGAAAGCTTAGCTCAGTTAAAATGGTAGATCAAAGCACTGGGTCTAGGTCCCACATCTCCACGGTATCATTATATGTCCCACCAGTTATTAATGCCATATTATCATATGACAATTGACAATAATTTCTGGGCACTCTGAACTGGAATAAGAGGATGTGTTGAATATTTGGGATTGGTATAAAAGGGAAGGAACATAAAGGAAATGCTACCAGCCCCTCAAGCCTGTTATCCTATCAGAGGTTTTATCAGTTCAGTCCTTGTTAAGGAACTGTCTTACTTTTTCCCTTGATTCTGTGCCTATTACCATCACATTGATTTGACAATTTATTAACTTCCACCTACATGATTAGAAACGATATCTTTTCTCCTGTTTCCTGCTTCTATTTACCCATAGTCACACAAACTTATTCTTAAAGCCAGACTTCTGAACACACTTCTTCCCTGCTCAAAACCCTTCAGTGTTTCCTCACTACTGGCTACATCTGAAATAAAGATGTCAGGTCAACCCCATCCTGCATCACCAGATAGCTTCATTCCACCTCCTCTGTATTTCAGTCAAAATGAAGAGGCCCCCGTGGTGGACTAATTACGAATATGACCTCCTAGTCCTTCCTCTCTCGACTCATGCTCTTACCATGTGAGTTCATCACATAGAAAGGTGGTGTCTATTTCCTTGTTTTTCTGAACGGCTGGCTTGAAACCTGCTGTAGACCAGAGAAGGCAGAAGTGCTTGTGTATCACTTGTGTGAGCCTAGATGTGAAGAGACATTCAGCACCGCCCTACCTTGGCCTGGAAAAAAAAAAAAAAAAGGCCAGGGAAGCCTAAGAGAGGATTGGGGATCGCAGGAAGCAAGACTGAGTTTACCAGCTGAGACCACCCTCATCCAACCAACCCCCAGCTAACTCAGCAGATGATCCCCAATACCTAAGTGATCTCAGCTAAGCTCAGCTGAGCCTGGCTCAGATCAGCAGAAATGCCCAGCATCATCATGAGACACAGTCAGAGGTGGTTGTTTTAAGCCACTACATCTTGTTGTGTTTTATTAAACATCATTATTGCAGCAATAGCTAACTGATACAGAATGATACAGCACCACCCCCCATCACACATGAGATTTCTATGAATCCCAAGGTTTCAGAACCACTCCCTAAAATGATGTTCTCTTCTTTCAGATGGGCAGAAGTTCTAGCAGTTCTTTATGTTGTATCCAAATATATAGTGCTTCGTGACACTTTTTCTGGTGTCTTCTCTTAATTGTCACCCCCTCTCCCCTCACAAAGCTCTTAACACATTTTATTTGAGCTTTGTTTTATGAGAAGCTGTCACTTGCTCATTTTTTAAATTTCCCACAGTACCTAGTAGACCCTTGTCCTGTGTTGAGTGGAATTGAATTGCTCTGCAAGATTAAGAAACCCCTTCTGTCTCTACAAAATTCACCCTCCATAGATCTGACCACTATCTTAAGCCATTTATTTTCAGATGAAATTTAGCTCATTTTTGTCCAGAAAAAAAAAATGCCTAAATTTATAATTTTATTCACCTCAGAAATTACTTCATTACCAACTTTGCAGGAACTTATATATTGTGTAGATTGAAGGAGGTCTATATGCTTCTTTTAACTTTACAATGATGCATATATATGAAATGTATTATTGAATAGTTATTACTCATTTATATTACACACTTATTATTTTAACATAAGGTAATAATTTTGAATTTAGACATATGTATTTGAGCTTTGGGATTTAAGGTTCAACTGAGGTCTTTTTTCTAGTTGATTTTGCTCTCTTAATAAGGGTAGTATATTCTAACTCAAGGTCAATATTTTCTCATGAATTCTTCTGATAATTACTTTATTGATTAGTTACCTTATATCAGCCATTCAGTTTAAAATTAAACATAAAAATAAAAGTGAATATAATGAAAGGATCCCTAGAAATACTGACTTAAGTCATTATATCTCTTGTGCTCTTTCAAGAAAGAAACCAATAGACTCATCCCAAATGGCAGATAATTGTTAAGGCTTAATAACTCCTTAATAACTGCCTTTTACCCCAGGAAAAATAACCTCAAACTCTGACTTGTTAACTCTCATTTTGATGAGAAATGTGAAGAATATTTTATTTTATCTTTATTGTGGAGAGGAGAATGACTCCTGATAATCATCTTTTACAGGCAACCTCCTACTTCATCCGCTATTAAGACTAATCTGCCTCCTGCCCACCCATCCACTCTATCTCAGCCTTCATGGGGAGTCGATGTGCATGTTGTGATGCTAGGAACCTGGAAGGTAACACTGTCAGCTTGTTCTGCCACAGAACTGTAACAATCCTAAGTTCCTCTTATGTAAATTAATTTTTTAAGGAAATATACATCTGCTACCTAGATACACTGTAAGGAACCAGGATCAAATAAAAGGGAGGGGGAGTCTGAAAACATTGTAAGTTAGAAATAAATTTAAAAGAAAATATTATAAGCAGGGAATATTATTTTGTGTGCACTTTAATATAATA